CCCCATCCCTACCTCCCATCCCTACCTACCCCCATCCCTACCTACCCCCATCCCTACCTACCCCCATCCCTACCTACCCCCATCCCTACCTACCCCCATCCCTACCTACCCCCATCCCTACCTACCCCCATCCCTACCCCATCCCACCCCCATCCCCACCCCCATCCCCACCCCCTCCCCACCCCTCCCCACCCCCTCCCCACCCCCTCCCCACCCCCATCCCCACCCCCATCCCCCGCCCCTCCCCCCGCCCTCCCCCCGCCCCTGCCCCCACCCCCGCCCCTGCCCCGCCCCTGCTCCGGCCCCGCCCCGCCCCGGCCCCCGCCCGGCCCCTGCCCCTGCCCCTGCCCCCGCCCCCGCCCCCGCCCCCGCCCCCGCCCCCGCCCCCGCCCCCGCCCCCGGGCCGCCCCTGCCCTGCCCCTGCCCCTGCCCCTGCGCGTGCCCTTAATGCAGGTACAGGCGATCCTGTCGGACAAGACGGGCACGCTGACGCGCAACCAGATGGACTTGTTCAAGTGCAGCATCGTCGGCATCGCGTACGGCGTCAGCCAGACCGAGGTCGAGAAGGCCACCGCCGCACACCACGGCACTACCTTTTCTGGCCGCCGGAGTGGCGCTGGGGCAGCGTCCGTGGGGAGGCAGCAGCAGCGAGGGGCGTATGAGGAGGGGGAGGAGGACGAGGAGGAGGAGGAGGAGGAGGAGGAGGAGGAGGAGGAAGAGGAGGCGCAGTACGCACGCGATTACGTGCTGGCGAAGCCCCTGGAGAAGGGCTTTAACATGCGCGACCCATGGCTGGACGACCTCAACTGGCGGTAGCAGAGCTCGGCGGGCAACATCCGGCGCTTCCTCGAGGTGCTGGCCGTGTGCCACACCGCCATGGCGGATAAGGCCCACGCGCACGCGGAAGGCGCGGACGGTGACGACCAAGCGGGGGAGGACATGGGCGGGCTGACAGCCGTAGGGGGGAGAGTGCGGAGAGGAGGCGGCGCGAGTTTGGGGGCGCTGGTGTCGGTGGCGTCGGACGCGGCGGTGCCCGTGGTGCGGTACCAAGCGGAGTCGCCGGACGAGGTGGCGCTGCTGTTGCTGACTTCGCCTCCACCCGCCGCCTTGACTACGCTGCCGCTCTGGTCGCTGACCCTGCCCATCCTTCGTCCGTCGGGGGTGCTCCTGCCCTTGGCAGTGACGTCCTAGAGGACAGGCAATACGAGCTTGCTTTCCTTTCCGAGGCTGCTCCCCATTTCTGCTCCATGCTGTTAGTCCCTGAGGGTGACCCAGACGCCTTCGACATCTCGACTCCTCGCACCTACGCTGAGGCCACCTCGGGACCTTGGGCCTCTCAGTGGATAGCTGCCATGGAGCAGGAGATGGCATCTTGGAGGTCCACCGGCACCTACGTCGACGCAGTTCCCCCACCTGGGGTGAACGTAGTCGATGGTCGGTGGCTCTTCAAGGTGAAGCGCCCGCCAGGAGAGCCGCCTGTCTTCAAGGCGCACTACGTGGCCAGAGGCTTCAGACAGCGCGAGGGGGTGGACTTCTTCCAGACCTTCGCCCCGACCCCGAAGATGACTACTCTTCGAGCGCTGCTACCCGCAGCAGCATAACACGACTACGAGCTTCACTCCCTTGACTTCTCTACTGCTTTCCTTCAAGGCAGCCTACACGAGCAGGTCTACCTGCGCCGACCGCAGGGTTTCACTGGTACCTTCCCCCCTGGGACCCAGTGGCTTCTCAGGCGCCCGGTCTACGGCCTGTGTCAGGCTCCGCGCGAGTGGCACGACACGCTGCGGGCCACGTTAGCAGACCTGCAGTTCTTTCTGTCCTCTACTGACCCCTTGCTGTTAGTGCGTTCCGGCCAGACTCCGTTCTACATCCTTGTCTACGTAGACGACCTGGTCTTTGCTACTGCCGACAGGGACGCACTGGCCTCCGTGAAGGCCGAGCTGCTGAAGAGACACACTTGCACTGACCTTGGAGAGCTGCGTCGCTACCTTGGCTTGCAGATCTCTAGGGACAGAGCAGCACGCACCATCACTCTGACACAGTCACACTTGGTGCGTCAGGTCCTTCAGAGGTTCGGTCTTCAGTTCTCCTCTGCACAGCCCACACCTCTACCTGTAGACCACGGGCTTTCCGCTCCTGTTCGTGAGGAGCCAGTAGAGCCCAGCGGCCCCTACGCAGAGCTGGTGGGTTGCCTCATGTACCTGATGACCTGCACTCGCCCAGATCTCGCATACCCTCTCAGCATCCTGGCTCGCTTTGTGGCCACTGGCAGACACCGACCTCAGCACTGGTCGGCCGCTAAGAGGGTTTTGCGATATCTAGCAAGTACATCAGGCATGGGGTTAGTGTTAGGAGGACGCAGGCCAGTAGTCCTCACTGGGCACACAGACGCTTCTTGGGCAGACGACTCTGAGATGCTCAGGTCGTCGCAGGGCTACTGTTATAGCCTTGGTTCGGGCGCTATCTCTTGGAGATCCACTCGCTCGTCGTCTGTTGCTCAGTCGAGCTGTGAGGCTAAGATCTACGCTGGTGCCATGGCGGCACAGGAGCTCCGCTGGCTGACCTTCTTGCTCACTGACTTAGGTGAGCGGCCTAGCTCTGCCCCGGTCCTGTACGCTGACAACAGGGCCATGATCCTCCTGTGTCAGGAGCCTCGACTTGAGGGCAGAGCGAAGCACATCCAGCTGCGGTACTTCCTCTTGCGCGAGCTACAGCAGCGCCGCCAGGCCCGCGTAGTTCACTTGGCTTCAGGTGCCAACACAGCTGATATCTTTACGAAGGCGCTTGCATCTAAAGATCATCAGCGGCATTGTGTACAGCTCGGTCTAGTTCCTGTAGCCTCTCACTTGCTAGGACATTGACTTTGTACTGTCCTATATATATCTATATATGTACTCAGACTGGACTTGTGTCCTCTCCCAGTGGCTGGACTAGTAGTGCCGCCCTGGTCTTGTTCTTGTCTTGCCTGTACTCCTTTTGACTGGTCTTTAGACCCTTGTCTCAGTGGCTGGACTAGTAGTGCCGCCCTGAGCTGTTTGTTTAGGATTTGCCCCTATGCAGTCTAGGGGGTGTGTCAAACATATGTATAACACATATTTGTATAGACTGTATAGGGTCACCTCTTAGTGGGTACAACACTCTTAGGTATATACCCTTGTACTCTCTCTCTATCAATAACATTTTACTCAGTTTTCTTCTCTACAATAACGGCTCTTGATTCCTAGCCAATAAATACAGCTGAAGAAGGTACATCAGCGTGGCGGAACTATTATGACACTTTACAACAACTCAACAACAAACCTGAAGTACCTTTGGGACCCAGCAGCAGCAGAAGTAAAGCAGAGGAAGGAGAGCAGCAGTGAACCAGAAACGGGGGTTCTTATCGGTCAACCTGCAGCATAGACAACAGAAACAGAAATGGAAGAAGGAGAATTAGTTCTGCAACCAAAAGAAGTTCTCGACGTGGAAATTAAAACCATTAAGTTACCTCCTACCCGCTTCGTTTCTGGACAACTCGACGAATCATCAGCGATTTCTCCTTTCATCATTTCTTCATTTTATACTTATGCCGATTTTTATCTGCGATCAACAGGCAACAAGGCAGCAGAGGATATATGGCATCAACGTTCAGGTCATCCGTCTCCGGGGATTCTTAATCATACTATACGAGCTTCACTTCTTGACAAGAATAGCTTACTCTTACCGGATGGAAACGAGATGAAGTCGTCTTCACGACCGGCAGTCTGCACAACGTGCACAACTGCTAATCTTCCTCACGAACCTTTTCCAAGTCATTTTCCGGGATCAACTCGTTACACCCTTATGCAGAAAGTCTACAGCAACATCCTCAACTTACCTGAAGCTGGACCTAAGGGGGAGCTCTATATGATCTCCTTTATCCAGGCTTCTACTCGATATGTTTGGACGGCAAACATTGCAGCTCGTCATATGGCTTACTCTATCTTCGTCGCGTGGCTCGCGGTGGCTGAAACAGAATCGAAGGAAAAGCTTCAAGAATTTTTGAGTGACAGAGTAGGGGAGTATACGAACACCACCTTCACTGAGTATCTTCAAACCCTAGGCATCAAGCGCCGAGGGTCTCTGCCACATCAACATCAACAGATGGGGGTAGCGGAGCGGATGAATAGGACATTACAAGAACAGATGCGAGTCTTGTTGACACAAGCAGCACTACCACCACATTTTGTGACTTACACTTTGGACCATGCAGTTCTTCTGCACAACTTGCTGTCGACAACTTCTCTTCGCCACACCTGCAATGGACGAAAACAGTCGGCAACACAAATCTTTTAAGAGTTTTTGGGTGTGTCATCCAATACCAACCTCCGACCTCAGCACTCGGGAAATTTTCATAACGGTCTAAGTGGGGAATACATCTTGGCATCGAGAAGCACTTTTATGCGTGGACAATTATGGATCTTCGCACAAGTCAGTTTGTCCCAGCACATGATTGTCTTTTCTATGAACGACCCACCTTACCTGTTTTTCGTGCTCACCAGGCTGTAGCTGCCAATCCTGCCAGGTTGTTCAAAGGCTCGCGTGCTTTCGCTACCGACGAGGCCGAAGCAGATGTACAGGATGAATCCGTTGCTGAGTCTTCCGAAGCTGCCACAAACATCCCTGTGCCAACCACGTCAGCTGGAACTGCCGACTTTATCCCACTCAGCAAAGCAGACTCTAAAGATGTCTGCGATATCGTTCTCGATTACGAACGTGATCGTCAGCAGCAGCCCATGCCTGTTGTCTCCGAAGCAGGTATCCGGGTAACACGTGAAGAAGTTGGGGGGGAACAGGGGTCAGAACACAACTTCTCCGGTGTCAACTCAAATCGTCCTCGTTTTACAGAAACTGGGTTACACTGTCAAACATGTCTATGTGTTATGTTTGTATAGACTGTATAGGGTAGCCTCTTAGAGGGTACAACACTTAGCTATATTGTGTGTACTCTCTCTGTATCACCAATACTTCAATTTCTGTTATGGTATCACGCGTAGGTAGGATCCCCCCCCCCCCACCTACCGCTTCCGCTCGCCCCCCTAGCCCCGTCGCGACCCCCCCCTAGCCCCGTCGCGCCCCTTCCTGGGACCCGTCGCGCCCCTCCCTGGGCCCCGTCGCGATCCTTCCTGGACCCCGTCGCGCCCCTTCCCAGGCCCCGTTGCGCCCCTCCCAGGCCCCGTCGCGCCCCTCCTGGGCCCCGTAGCGCCCCTCCTGGGCCCCGTAGCGTCCCTCCTGGTCCCCGTAGCGCCCCTCCTGGGACCCGTCGCGCCCTTCCTGGGCCCCGTAGCGCCCCTCCTGGGCCCTGTCGCGCCCCTCCCAGGCCCTGTAGCGCCCCTCCTGGGACCCGTCGCGCCCATCCTGGGCCCCGTAGCGCCCCTCCTGGGCCTCGTCGCGCCCCTCCCAGGCCCTGTAGCGCCCCACCTGGGACCTGTCACGCCCCTCCTGGGCCCCGTAGCGCCCCTCCTGGGCCCCGTCGCGTCCCTCCCAGGCCCCGTCGCGCCCCTCCCAGGCCCCGTCACGCCCCTCCTGGGCCCCGTAGCGCCCCTCCTGGGCCCTGTCGCGCCCCTCCTGGGCCCCTGCAGCGCCCCTCCTGGGCCCCCCGTCGCGCCCGCCCGGTCCTGTCGCCCCAGCCTGGCCCCGTCGCCCACGCTCGGCCCCGTCCTGCTCGCCCGGCCCCGTCGCAGCCGCCCGGCCCCGTCGCATCAGCCCGGCCCTGTCGCGCCCGCCCGGCGCCGTCGCACCGGCCCGGCCCTGTCGCCCCCGCCTGGCCTAGTCG